TCAACATCAGAAGCCTACTAATGTCCCCACTGCTGGGGCTCAGGCCTTCCCTATGAATGGCGTAGGGAGATCAGGCCGTGATCTACCAATCGGGCCCATTGCGGATTGATAGGTTTCAACGACTGCAAATGCAGGTGGGACCAACGGCTTAACGTACTTTTCGAAGCACAGAGGGATCGTAATATTAATTTTTTGGTCACCCATCCAATGACCAACCATTGTGAAAGTTGCTTAACTTCCTCGCAGGCCAAACGCGCTAACCACCTGCGTCATAGAACTTCTGAATTTTATATTCCATAGAACTCCTCAATAATTAAGTTATACATACATTCTATCTGTTGTCCTAGTATCCCTTAACACAATCCTTCAAGTTTTTATTTTGAGGTTATACTAATAAGTGTAAGAAACTCAGATTACAGAATAAAAGACAGATGAAGTGCACCGAACACGCAGTGTGTGCCACCATAGACGAAGTCAGAATCGACTGAATGAATAAATATTCTTTGTTGCACTTTAATAATAATACTTATTCCATAATGTATAACACCACAAGGGACACCAAAAGACCAAAAGAAAGATTACCTTGACAGAGAGACATTACACGATGAGCGGCCTTATTGCTTAATAGCAATCTTTTCCAGGCAACCTATAATGAAAAATGAAATAAGGAAATAAGAACAAAAAAGGGAGAAGGGTCTAAAAGCAATATTATAAAAGGAAAGGTTATTTTAATAAGATGCTTTATCTCTTAAACAAAGAAATCAAATAAAGAAAGGAAAGAAAAAAGAAAGAAGGAATATTCAAAGTAAGGATAAAGAACAACGCTTAACTTGATCACGGAACGAGTCCAGAGTGTAAACCCTTCGAATGGGTTCCAGTAACGAATTCCACAAGCAAAAAGAAAGCACAGAGAAGCAGTAAGAAATATATATATATATATATATTTCCAACATTCACACCAATTAGCCTAGCCCCAAAGTAAGCACTGTAAAGGCTTGTGTTATGGAATACTAGGGTAACGGATAGAATATATATATTGTACATATATAAGTATATTTATATGAAATACATATTAAACATCCATGACTGGAGTACAAATGCTCGTATTCATCACACAAATATCTGCCCCCACCGGGATTCGAACCCGGGACCTCTCGAGTCGGCGACGCCATGAAACCCGGCGTATAAACCACTCGGCCACGGAGGTCGTCAAAAGGGAATCAGTTGAATGGCAATTTAAGACAGTTTTAACAAAATTATTAAGAGACGGTTATCGTTTTTCCGTACCGGACCCGCGACGGGCGTATGCTCAACGCAGCGAGTACCCTAAAGCCTGTTGCGCTCTTCAAAAAGGGAATTTATATCACTGTTTCTCAGAGCCTTTAAAGCCTTTTTGACGTGACTCAAGGCTGTTACAGCAAGAACGCTATGTGAATATTAAACAGAAGTATTTGAACAACTTCTGTTGTAAAGAACACACTAAGGGCTTGTATATAATTATGAAGGAATTGTAGCTTTTACCCAAGCCTTGGTTTGTCCGTGCGAATCTGACCATGCGAACTTTATAAGAGAGAAAATTAATTTTGGCTGACAGCCGAAAATCTCGAGCCTCTTCAACCTACCCCGTGGAGGCTTAAGCCAGTAACATATTAACGTGTCGTGGCGTGTCGTGGCGCATCGGTTTCATACATTTATTATGGGTTAGAGAGGAATAGAGAGGTTAAAGCGTCGACACGACACGATACGTAAATATGTCTCTAACCATAGTAAATGTATGAAACCGATGTGCTTCTGGCGCGGCACGACACGACACGACACGTTAATATGTTTCTGGCTTTACTCACCTAAGGAAACCACAAAGGGTAGTGATATTTTACTGTCATCTTCTATACGGTGGATGTTACTTCCCTAGATATATTGAGTGGCTGCTATGTCCTATTTCTCTAAAGTAGGTATGAATATATATAATAATAGCGCGGTCTGCGTCATAGGCGATGAAGAGGTGACTAAACACCTCGAGCCTCTTCAATGAGGGCTACCGTTTTCTGTCTCACCAGATGGCGCCACTGTTGAGTGAGGTCCTAAATTGTAACTTTTAAAGTTTATTATTACACACATGAAATCAAAGGTTACATTTAGATCGTATTTTAACACAAAAGAACCATATCCTAAACATAATAGGCCATGCCACAGTGACGCCCAGTTCCGTTTTATTCGGAAAAAATGGGAACATAATCGTTTTTCTAAGCTCAAATTTTTAATAACTGACATTCATTGCCACATAACTCATATTTGCCATAATTAAGCCGAATTGTTACCAATTATTCACAACATTATTTTAATAAGAAATAAACCCGCGTAGTCAACCAACAAGCAATAACATTTGACATTTCGGAGACCTCACGCTACACTAGCGCCTCTAGCGGCGGATTCATACGCGATAGCCCTCATTACGCCGTGACGTGGCGTCATTAAGCGCGTTCTATCGTCTTTACCACGGCGAGTGTTCTGAGGAGTTATTCTCCCTTATTCCACTTTCACCTTTCCTTCAGAGTACTGAGTAGACTATGTTACTCTAAAATCTTAACAACCACACTTTTTTTGATCAAAGTGTTTGCTTTTATTTATTTTGCATCATCATCATTATGTCAGTCGTGTTTGAGACCAAGGGTCAGCAAAAGTACTCGGCGTATTGGGATTCGTTGAAATGATAGAACTTCGTACTTGAACTAATGTATTCTTAAAATAAGCATAACAAATCAAACAGAATTTGGTTTGGTACTGAATCCTTGATCATTATACATATAGGAAACTTCTTATAGAAACGCACTGCAGCAATCTATACCGCGATTACAAGGACTTAACGTGACATCTATTAACTGAATAAAGAACTAAAGTTGTTGTTATGTGAAACTAAGGAACTCAAACCATAGTGCGAGTAACAATTGCTACAGCGCCATCTTGCTTCTAATAAAAGAGCTATATGAACTTGAACAAGTCGTATGACCGACTCGGTCCTGCGCCACTCGCATCCATCGGCTTCCCGCAACCTTCACAAGATCGTCGGTCCACCTTGTAGGGGGCCTGAAAATCTTCGCGTCCAAATTACCTCAGTGCCACAAGACAAAAGTCTTTGACCAGTGCGTGTTGCCAGTGATGACCTACGGAGGCGATACGTGGTCCTTTACCGCATCACCGGTCTCATAAGAAGGCTCAAGGTCACATAGCGAGCAATGAAGAGAACGATGATCGGTTTATCCCTACGCGGTAGAATCAGATATGAGAAAATCCGTAGGAGAACCAAAGCAACCGATATCGCTTGAAGGATTGCTCTGCTGAAATGGCAGTGGGCGGGACACGTAGCAAGAAGAACCGATTGCCGTTGGGGCGGAAAGGTTCTAGAATGGCGACCACGCATTTCTTATTATAAGTATGTTTATTTTCTCTTCGAAAATAAATAAAACTAGGCGATTCGGAGTTAGAAAAAAGATTAATTCGCCTACACGATTGGCTTTTTCGCTCGAAAAAGAACGCCCGCCTGGGAAATAATATCCCGCCTACACTTAATACTAATCTGGACGTGAATTACGTTATTCTTTGGTAGGCAAAGGTTTCATTATAAAAGTGTACCTAACAGCCTCCCTCATAAAAAAGTTCCGTGGCAACTGATCGAACTATTTTTAACCTGCGTGATATTGGCAGATTTTTATTTTTAAGCAATTAACTGCTAGATGCTTAAGTCTAAAGAAAATTTTACTAGAGAAAATGCCACGCGGGCCAAGCAGTAGACGGAACTCGAACCCGTATTCGTCTGCTGCCTTGTCCAAGTATAATTTTTTCTAGTAAAATTTTCTCAATATTTATTATATTCATTAATACATATCAAATGCTTCGCGTAATTTGTCAAAGTATAAAATTTGAGCAACATTATTACAGGAGTATTACTCGACACCTCTCGCATATGTCGCACGACCATAAAACATAATAAAGGCGTGTTAAAACTTTACGAGACAGTTTATACCTCAGGAGGGCTATAAGATGCTATATTACTCTTCTATTTGGTTTGATGGAACCTTTTCTACCTATCACAGTGTTTGCTCGACTAACTATAGTCATCATCATCATAAGATATATTCATCACCATCGTACAACAAAACTGTGGAATATATTGTCGCCAGCAGTGTTTCCGGACCAATACGACCCAAAAACCTTCAAAAAAAGAGCGTACTCCTTCCTTAAAGGCCGGCATCGCATTTGTGATACTCCTGGTGTTACAAGTGTCCGTGGGCGACGGTGATCACTTACCATCAGGTGAGCCGTCTGCTCGTATGCCCCCTATAACATAAAAAAAGTCAATGGACGTCTACTGCTGGACATAGACCTCCTCAAGGGATACCTCGTGACGGCAGCCCCCCCTTGTAGTTCTGTCCTGCAAAGAGGGGGGCGGCGGAGGGAGCTACACGGGCACGCCCAAGTAGTCCTCCGCAGCGGACGGGGGGCGGTACGGTGGGCACTAGGCCGCGTACTCAGCCCCCATGCACGGGCCTACCTGCGCACGTATGCGGGGTCCCCGCGATACCCCGGGAGACCCCTGCCGTGGAGCCCCGACTAGGACGGGAGGCTGCTAGGTGCGGAGACGCGGAAGAATCCCTAAACGGGGACGGAACGGGTGACTTCGTAAATCATCTCTGAAGTAATTTTTCAACTTGACGACTCTGTAAATAATAAAACAGGTAGAAAATAACAGCCCTTGCTGAGTTTCTTGCCGGTTCTTCTCAGTACAAGGTCTCCCAAGGCCTTAGATTTGCGAACCGATGGTGTAGCTTCTAGACATACATGAGTGCTTGTAACAGCCTAAACTGAATAAATGATTTTGATTATGATTATGAATGAATTCACTCGGTCGATTTAGTGTTTTCCTTTAACCGAGCGAGCGAATGTTTGCTTGCTCAGTATTGTTCTGAGCAGTAAGTTAATTACATTTTATGTTTTGTCCACAGAGTGCCATAGTCGGTTCGCGGGTGATATTCCCCTGCCGAGTGGAGAACAAGGCGGGAACACTGCAATGGACCAAAGACGACTTTGGTCTTGGCACCCACCGAAATTTGAGCGGATACGAGAGGTACAGGATGACAGGGAGCGACGAAGAAGGTAATTGATTTCATATTTAGATATAAATAAATAAATATTTCCAACACTCACACCGATTACCCTAGCTAGGTATTGGGCCATGACCCACCACGCGGGCCCAGTGCGGATTGGTGGGTGCTAACGACTGCAGATGCAGCCGGGACCAACGGCTTAGCGTGCCTTCTGAAGCACGGAGGAGCTCGAGATAGTAAATTTTTGGTCACCCATCCACCGACCGACCACTGCGAAAGTTGCTTAACTTCAACGATTGCAACCGAACGCGCTAACCACTTGCGCCATCGAGTTCCTCATTTATTTAGATAATTTAAATAAAGAGCTGCGATCTATATTATGTTATTTTTTTAAATAAGACCATGTAGTGCCTATAGGTAACTAGCTTACGCCCGCGACTTCGCTGCATTAATTTTAAGCTTTTAGCGACTTTCTGTTTTTTCTGTGAGCATTGGACAAAGTATTAGAAAACCTTGAAAAAAGATGGCGAGGTACCGTTCTGATGAATAATGTATTCATGAGAAATAGGTTTTTTTTGGTCGCAGATGACCTTTACAGCGTTACCGGGTTTGGGGACGGCGAGATCCTAAGGGGACCTCGAACCGAGAAATTCGAGGCGAGTGCCTCTAGAGGTATTCCAGGCGGATGCATCTTCCCACGGGGGGAGTCTCCTCTCCGTCTGGAGCCACTAAACCACTCGACCTTGAGAGGGTATACGTGGGTGATGGTGGCTATAGCGGCTGCCTACCATCAGGCTCACTAAAAGCATACTAAAAGCCACCCATTTAACATAAAAATCCACACCAGAATTAGGTTTCTTATAATACAATACAAAACACAATACTTTATTGAAAACACCACAGAACAACACAGAACAGAAATGAGGGAAATTACAATTGTAAAAAAAGAGTGTTTCAATGGGCGGTCTTATCGCTAAAAGCGATTTTTACAGACAACCTTTGGATGGAGAGGATTCAAAGAAAGCTGGAGTCGGCGGTGTCAGTAAAAGAAACAAGGAATATAAACGAATTTATGTTTTAAATATATATACATACATATGTACATATTATGTATACATAAACTACACTAAGTGTACTATAAGTATAACTACTATAAGTGTTATACTAATTATCTAGCATGAACAACTAGAAAACGGTGACGCAACGAAATATTTAGGTGAATCGCCTGTTGCTGCGCGAGAACGTATTTTATTTTTGGTGAACGCTTTCCTCGCCCACGACTAGAATGGAGTTTCATGCTCACAGAAGAAAAAAATCGTAACAAAAATAACTGCTACACAAAGGAGTTACTCTGAATAACTTTATGTTGTTCGTTAGTATATAGCATCCTTTAGTACACATATAGCGATAAATTATGCGTTAAAGTTGAAAAAGTATTGTCGATAATTTGAAACTTTTTCATCACTTGTGCCAGGTCATAAGTATTGTCACACAATAAAAACTTTTCTTTTAGAATGTTGGCCACAAAAAAGTTTATTGAAATCGAATTTCGAATTGTTCATGAAAATAAAAATGTATACTTTTTAGAATTTTACTCATTTTTAAATATGGAGTGGACGCTTAAAGAAGACCGTGTTGCAGTTATTGCGTTGCATCGTTGCGGTTACGCGCCAATTCAAATTTTTGACATACTGAAAATTTTGAAAAGAACCAAAAGATTCGTTTATGGTAACATCAAACGATACAATGAAGACTCTAGTGTAGATGACAGGTCAAGAAGTGGTCGCCCTCGGTCTGTTAGGAATCCAGCAGTGATAAAAGCTGTGAAGGTGACTGGTTTCGGCTACGAGAAACCTAACGAAAGAAGATCGGATGTAACCCTCCGCGGGTGTTTTAAAACAATCGCGCACACAGCGGGCGTGAATCGCACCTTTAAATTTGCTTTTAGGTTTTACCTACAAATAATGATAATAATTTGTTTTTATATTTACGTGTTTTAGTATATTACTTTAATATATATATTTTATAAAAAACCTAACAATGAAATAAAAAAAAAATGAGGAGCTCGATGGCGCCAGTGGTTAACGCGTTCGGCTGCGGTCGTTGAAGTTGAGCAACTTTCGCAGTGATCGGTCATTGGATGGGTGACCAAAAATTTACTATCTCGAGCTCCTCCGTGCTTCGGAAAGCACGTTAAGCCGTTGGTCCCGGCTGCATCTGCAGTCGTTAGCACCCACCAACCCGCACTGGGCCCGCGTGGTGGGTCATGGCCCAATCTCCCTATTCCATCCATAGGGAAGGCCTGTGCCCCAGCAGTGGGGACATTAATAGGCTGATGATGATGAAATAAAATAAGTGAGAAAATAATAATAATATTTTTTTATTGTGACATAAATTATTTACATACTTGAATATATTATAGCCCCTGACCCCTATAATAGGATAAATATCTATGTAACAGTGGTCATAAATTTCACATGCTACGCGAGTTGCGGTCCCGCAGCCACGGCGGGCGCGGGTGGAAATCGCGCCATGAGTTCTTAGCCTAAATGAACACTAAATTTTCTGTCCAAAACGGAGGAAAATCTTTTTGACGTGACAACGTCTTAAATTAGGTTGCGGCTGGGAGTCACTTATGAAAAAGTGTAACGCTCGGTAACGTTACGATGAGTCTCTCGTGTTAAGTTTAAGTTTACATGTTCAATGTTTTAGTAAACAAAATATATTTCTATAGTTAAAATTTGTGCAATTCTTATTTTCATTCAATTCCTTGTTCCTATTGTGCAATTTAATTATATTCATATCAATAAATATTCTACCGAGAAAAAGACGTTGTCACGTAAAATCTTCGCCCGTAAAACCGACTTTACAGGCAACCATTTTTTTCTCAATGAATGATTAGAATTCTCAAACTATTTTTACAAGCTTTTATTTAACTTGCTATGTATGTTTGTTACGGTCAAATCTTACAACTCAATTTTTAAGCGCTTGCCCTCAACCGATTAAGCTGAAATTTGGTATGCTCGTTCAGTTCGGATGACAATGCATGATTAACAGTGTGACGTCATTCTAAATCCAATATGGCGGCATACCCAAAATGGCGGACCAATCATTTTTAATGCATTCCTACAATATGGGTATCAAATTAAAGGGCTTGCTGAGAGTAACTCGAAAAAAATGTGACGTCATTCTCAATCCAATATGGCGGACTTCTAAAATTTTATTTAGAAACAGATATTTTTAACTAATTTAGTTGAAATTTTTTAAACATTTTATGTACCGATTTAATGCTGTGATGAAGTTCATGTCAAACAATCATGAAGTTTTAAATGGTCCTATAAAAGACTATTGGTGGAGAATTGAGTTCCAGAATCGTGGGAGCCCCCATGTAGAAGTTTTTTTTTCTTTTAGCGCATTTAAATAAAAGCTTGTTTAAAAAAAAAATACTTTTATTTTATTTCGATTATTCATTATTTTTTAACAACAAGTAGCTAGTATAACATTTCGTAGATGAAATAACAAGGGTTCCTATAAACCCCTTTAAAAAAATGCCAGCGAAGTTCTGTTGTCGTTAACGATCGTATTTTATTCGAAATCGGAAAAGCTTTGGAATCACTGCTTTGGCGGGAATCCAGAAAAAAGTTTGTATATACGCACCTACATTTCACTACTGCGTACTCTACTTCATAGGTAGAAAAGTTACGGCTGTACGATAAAAAAAAAATCTCCTTTGCCAAATCCATCTTTTCATGCCGTGTGATGGTGAAAAACAAATGTTGTTCATCAATTTATCGTCGGTTTTTATAATGCGTGGTGTTGATTGTAAGACATAAAGTACCTATTGTGTAAAAAATAAAAGCTTTCAAAAAGCTTTCGTTGAAAAAAAGTTTCAATAATTTATTAAAGTACGAGGAAAGAAACTTTAAATTATGTAGCTAGTGTTAATTATATTTTCTTTAAAAAAAAAAAGCAAAAAAGCTTATTACAAAGTGTCTGATTATATTACAGACAAAAATGCTTGGGTTTGAACTGTTCCAATCATTCCAATAGGTTTTCTGTATTGAATAAATCAAAATTGTATTGACGTTGTAACAACATAATGATTTGTAAATGTTGTTACATTAGACTTTTAATGTTGTGGAGTTTTTTTCGCTCGTTTTTCTCCGCAGCTAAAAAATATGTCCATAAAGAGTAGTAGGGAAAAAAAATTTGGACGATTCAAAAGAGTTGTATACTATACATCCAATTTGAATAAAGATATATTGATTTCTGATTTTGAATATAAAAGTCCAGCCCCCTGGCACGAGCATCGCGATATGATATATAACGCGTTGTTACCACGCTCAATTGTCAAATCACTGTGGAGTTTGACAGTTAGATGAGATGAAAAACGTGATATAATGTAAATTGTGGTGCTCATGTTACGGGGACTGACTTGTAAAATGTATACACGGATAATTTTTATTTAACTGTCCTAAAAAGGATTAAATAAATTCAGAGTTCGAGGAGCTCGATGGCGCGGGTGGTTAGCGCGTTCGGCTGCGATCGTTGAAGTTAAGCAACTTTCGCATTGGTCGGTCATTGGATGGGTGACCAAAAATCTTGTATCTCGAGTTCCTCCGTGCTTCGAAAGGCACGCTACGCCGTTGGTCCCGGCTGCATCCGCAGTCCTTAGCACCTGCCAATACGCACTGGGCCCTCGTGGTGGGTCATGGCCCAATCTCCCTATTCCATCCATAGGGAGGGCCTGTGCCCCAGCAGTGGGGACATTAATAGGCTGATGATGATGATGAAATTCAGAGTTAAATAAGATTTTACATGTGTATTTTCTTATAACTTATAAATACTTATATTGTTTTAAACTTTCATGGTCACTAACATTATAGTAATGTATGGTATTTACGGGATTGTTATCATTTACCTTCTTTTTAGCGGGGTTCCGATATTTTGGCAATGTTGCAAGCGCCATGATCACAGAGTAACTGATGTAATTGCGGGTAGGCTGTTATTGGCAGACGTATTGGTCTACCCTCCGAAGAAGTCGAACGC